GTTACATGGAGTCACGCTGGCCCCGCCCCCTGCTCTATTTCCTTCCGGAGCCCTTACCACCTTCCCTCCTTGCCAGTTTCCTTACCTCCTTTGTCATTCTCCCCGGTCGAAGTATAAACTGAACACCAGCAGGGATTCTTCTCTGGTCCGTCCACTGCTGAATCCCAGAACTCCCGGAGGGCGCCAGGGACACCGGAAGCAGAGGAAACCCTGCTCGGGGAAACCAATCAGGACATCCAGGAGCTCTCTCGGGGCCCAGAGCTGCGCAGAAGGTTTTGGCAGCCTGCGCTTCGGAGGCTCCGACGGGTGGACGGTGGACAGAGACTGTCTTCTCCGTCCAGAACCCATGCCTGAAAATCACAGCCAGCAAAGACTTGGAAAGTGAAGAGAGCGGGGAGACTGACTCGCCTTACTGATCTGTACATTTGCGAGGGCAAAAATAATGCTTAGCGCTTTTAGCTTCAATGCGCCTTTCGCCAGGAACTCACATGCATGCGGGATGCAGCCGTGGAGGGCCGGTTATAAGGAATGTGTTATTCTGATGGAAAAGACTTTGAGAGACCCCGCCTCCCAATAGCCTGCCCACTCGACATGTTCTAGAAGGAAAGTCTGGTATCAAAACATAAATCTAAACAGAAACCACAAGAGAAAACGGCAACGCGTATGCATCGGACCCTTTTATTTGTAACAAAACCAACATTCCCTCAACTCCTTGGCCCCAGGGTATTGTTCTTTGTTGTTACTGCTCTTTGTTTCCTTTTCATCTTTCAATATATCCTTCCAAGACTCTTGCCAGGGTACTTCAGAGTCCAGACTCTCTTATGGAAAGCATATGTTTTGGGGAACATACTGTACCACTTGAAGTTCTGGAGCCAGTTGTATTTCTGTTCCAGGATCAAGTGAGAAACCGTTATTTACAGGGCGAGAAGGAACCTCAGGTTAGCTACTCAGCCGCAAGACCCACACGTGACGCAAAGAAAGACTTTCTAAAAGATCTCTAAGAACTACGAAGGGCATCTCCAGCTAACCCATGCGTCTCATTCATTCATCTATCCACTTATTTTATTCGTGCAACATCTGTTGAAAGTTTACCACGAGCAAGGTCTATGCTCAAAGCCACAAATACCAAAATCCCGAGATAAATATGATCGGTCCTCCCCCTCCAGCAGCTCACTGGCCAGGAGAGGAGACAGGCAGGTATATCAAGGCAGCAGTCCAGCTGGACAAGGCCAAGGCAGAGGTGTGTGTCAGATTCGGGTCACGGGACAGGAGTCGAGAGACAATTAGAACTTTCCAGAGGAAGGGATGCTTTTTAAAGAGACTAAGAGGGGGGCGCCTGGGTGGCGCAGTCGGTTAAGCGTCCGACTTCAGCCAGGTCACGATCTCGTGGTCCGTGAGTTCGAGCCCCGCGTCGGGCTCTGGGCTGATGGCTCGGAGCCTGGAGCCTGTTTCCGATTCTGTGTCTCCCTCTCTCTCTGCCCCTCCCCCGTTCATGCTCTGTCTCTCTCTGTCCCAAAAATAAATAAACGTTGAAAAAAAATAAATAAATAAAGAGACTAAGAGGGAAGGAGGTAAAGAAGAGAAGGAGAGGGTACTTTACACAGAGGAAACTACACGTGCTACATAAAACATATGATGCAGTGATAGTCAAGATATTTAGTAACCATAGTTCCATGACACAGAGGCCAAAACCCACTGGTATGGTCCCAACCAGTGCCTGTGGCCCACGATCTCTCCTACTAACATGGAGAATCTCCAGGGTTTGTAGGAAAAAAAAAAAAAAAATCAAAGTACGATGTTGAGTGCTAGAAGTCAGGGTGGTAGTTACCCTTGGTGAGGCCATGACAGCAGGGGGGGCCAAAGTGGGGCTCAGGGTGCTGGCTTTCCGTTTCTTGATGGCTTTGTTTACCTTATGAAAATAACTCAGACCAAACACTGTGATAAATGCAATTTTCAGTGCCAGTGTTCCATAAAGGGACATATATTTACCAAAATGTTCAAAAAACCCCTCAAATACCATGCAGTCAGGCACAGCTCAAATTCTTGTGAATGACTCCAGGAAACAGTATACACCTGAAGATGGAAATAGCGACGCGAAGCAAAGCCACATTGAAAGAGCCATGTATGCTGAGTTAAGGAGTTCGAACTCCATCCTCAGAGACTCGCGGAGAAAGCAAGCACAGGAGAGGGCTGAGGGGCGTTTTCAGAGCGTGGCCTCTGGAGCTTGGCCCCTTGTGCCACAGTTGAGTTATCGCGTGTAAACTTAAAACTCTCCACCTGCCAAATGCGGCCGTGATTGCGTTTGCCTCCAAAAGATATTTTGAGGGTTGAATAAGGTACTGCACAAAAATATTTAGTGGAGTGCTCACTATATTCCACAATAAATGTGTGCATTTTAGAAAGCTTCCTCAGGCAGGAACGAGGAGAATGAATGGGGGGGAGGGGGTGGCCACACGGGCACAGGGAGATGAACCAGAAGGCTGTGGCAGTGACCTAGTAAGACGGAGTGAGGGCCCGACCACAATAGGGACAGTGGAACTCAAGGGGATCAAGGAGAGATCCACAAATTTGGAGGGGAAGGGGGGCGGGTACAAATTAACAGGCTTGATCTGGGAAATGAAAGGGAGTCAAGTCCAAGGTGACCATCAGGTGTCAGGCTGAGGGGACTGTGAAGATGGTAATACTGTTAGAAAGTCAGCATGGGCAGGGGCACCTGGGTGGTTCAGTTGGTTAAGTGCCCAACTTTGGCTCAGGTCACGATCTCACGGTCCGTGGGTTCAAGCCCTGCATTAAGCTCCATGCTGACAGAGTGACAGAGAGTGTCTCCCCCACTCGCACTCTGTCTCTCTCAAAAATGAATAAACGTTAAAAAAAATTTTTTAAAGAAGTCGACATGGGCAATAGACTAGGGGGAAGATCATGCATCAAATGTGAAACCTGTTGGGAGACACCCAGGTGGGCATGTCCACAGGAACTCAGTACAGGTGTCTGTGCTAAGGACATACATTTGCGAAGTATATAGAAGATTGTGGAAGGCAAAGAGTGGTGAGGCCCTCATCTCAGGGATGCTGCATTGGAGTGAGAAGAGCAAAGGGCCAAGATGGAACCCTGAGGAACATGGACATTGAGAGGGGCAGACCAAGAAAAGAGACTCATGAAGAAATTTGAGGAGAAAATGATCAGAAAGGTTGAAGAGCAGCCAACAGAGAGTGCTATTGGAGTAGCCAAGCAGGGTGTCATCGATTGTGACAGATGCCACAAAAATGACCTGTTAGATGAAAACAAACTAGTGTTCCTTGACGCCTACATGTGCTGGCCGTGATGGCCTCAGTGAGAGCAAATCCAGGAGAATAGGGTGACTAAAGCAGGATCGTCTTGGGTCTATGTTACGTGGCTTGGAAGAAAGCAGTCAACAAATGCATTCCAGGGGAAGGAGAGCTACAGGGCAAGAAGCTGGGGGGGCAATGAGGAGGCCATCTTTCTGGAGATCAGAGCTCCCAGTATTCACCACCACCCGTTTCGGCGGAAAAGGTTAGATTTCTCTCTCTCTCCCCCTCCCTTTCCCTCTCCCTGTTCTTCTCCCTCTCCTTCTCTCCCCCTCTCTCTCTCCCTTCCTTCTTTCCATTCTGAGTTTCCTCTCCAGAAGCAAAAGAGTAACTTATATAACTGGAAATGCTGAATGTATTACCTTTTTAAATGTTTTCAAAATAAGATGTTGAGAAGTGGGTATATTCAGGCAAGGGAGCCAGAGGAACCCAGCCGAGAAAGGAGCTGAAGCAGGGGCAGGAGAACCGGGCTCCTCTGGGGCTGCTGGCCACCCTGCTGCTCCTGGGGACCGTCTGCACGGCCAGAAGACGGGTTGGGAATTCGTGTGAATGAGTGTATACGCCCCGCGCCTCCGTCGACCCTCCTTCGTGGAGTCAAAGCCTGTTTCTCCCGCCTCTGGCTGAGGTGGCCGTGAGGGCAGTTGGCAACATGCTTCCTGCAGTGACGCCACGCAGACACCCGCAATGATGCCAGGAGCAGGCCCCCAGCCTGCTCCACCCAGCGGATGACCATTTGCCTCTAGAACCTGGGTCACACCACTTCTCCTGCCCACTCCTCCCCAGACCTGCGCTGGCTTCCAGGTAGGGCTCAAAACATAGTGTCTTCGGAAACTTCCAGGTGGGCCCTTCCATTAGTCACTAAGCCTATGTGTTGGTCATCTTGCATTTCCCGGGAGGTTCTGCAAGTCATTCTAATTTTCGTGTATAAGACTTGGCCTTATGGGTGAAATCATAAGGCATCCGGAGAATTCTCCACGACATCTGGGGGGGGCCATTCCACACACCGTAGGTTCTCAGCTAAGGTTGGCTTGCGGAAGTAAAGGGTGCGACGCCTGCACTGGACTATAAGCTCCCAGGCCAGGTCCTGGGCCCGTGCCTCTTTTTACCCTCTCCAGCACCAGCCCCCCGGGGCTCTGACCATCCATCCATCCCACAGGTATTTACTAAGCACCTCCCATGTGCCAGACTAGGTCAGCTGAGAATTCAGCAGTGAACCAGATCCCCAGTTCCAGAAGAGGAGACGGCCAATAGGGAAACAAACAAACCAACCAATCCAATAACCACAGGCTGTGGCCAGCTCTTCGGAGGAAATAAACAGAGCTCTGTGACGACTGGGAAGCATGTTTATGCTGACACCTGAGAGCTGCCAAGGAAGGAGTGAATAAGTTGCCCCTCAGCCTTCTCTTCCTATTTAATAGCCCCACTACCTTAACCTTTCTTTCAACAACGTATTCAAAGGGGTATGACACGGTGACGCGGTCTGTGTTCTTCTGGTCGGTGCGTTCACCGCGCGCTAACATACCTGATCCCTAATGAATCACCCTCTCTCGGAGGCTTGTTTTCGTCCCCTGCCCGAGGGGGCGGCAGCCCTGGGGTCCCCGAGGAGGGACAAGGGGCAAGGCCCCCAGCTGCTCAGCGCTCTGCCACTGATGCCCGTGGGGGTTTGTTTTGCAGGTGAGCCGGCCCCATCCCAGCGACCACCCTCTCCTGATCCTCTTTGTGGTGGGCGGGGTCACAGTCTCAGAAGCCAAAATGATCAAAGACCTCGTGCCGTCCTTGAAGCCAGGAACCCAGGTACTGAGACCTCTGTGAACGAGGGCCCTGAGGCAGAAACGAGAGGGTGGGTGGGGGCCCTTCCTTC